CCAACCCATAAACATGTAAAAATGGATTATTTTTTGTCCATAGGCACAGAAAGAACAAACTACACTTCATATACAAAATGAAGTTTGGATAGTTATGAAGTCTTTATAACCAATATTTACATTTGAACAGTTTTAATTTAGTACTAGGACAACTATTGGGACAGTAAACATGATCCTGCTATGACCATGCCAACTTACACAAATTAGATCTTGGGGGAAAGATTGCAGTTTCTGAACTAAAAAACCCATTAAGTCCCAGGGAGAACACATTATCTGCAATTTATCACACTTCCTAGGGATTCCTCACTRAAACCCAATCTTCTCATATTGCTAAAATATCATTAAAAAGTAGAGAAACTCAACAGGAATTTTTGTAATAAACAGGCCCATCAGGAATAGCAGAAGATTACACTTCCGACTTGTACTGTACAAATGTTATTGTCTGATGAACTAAAATTGCTTTTCAAGTACATACTCATTTCCCCATAATGAAAAAAAATGGTAAACATAACAGCATATGGCATCAAGATGAATCCCAAAGCACCCAGGAGTGGCATCCATATGTCAGGAGCCATGASACAAAACAATTAGTGGCTGCCTCTTCTACCTGACCACATTTCTAATTGGTGAACACACATGTATGTTAAAGTTAACACAAACACAGTGAAAAACATCACCAAACCATGTAGAAGTATTGCCTAGCTGGAACCAAGCTGAAAGAGATTTCACACACACTGAGCTCGTGTCAGGAAATAACCACGATAGAGCACCAGGAAGCTCTAAACTCTTCCCAAGGAGCTCTCTCTTAGACCCTTCCCTTCATTCCTGTGACAATCTCACAGAGAGTGTGGCTGTAATTAGAGGAAACTCTGCAGGTCCCTGCTCAGCAGAACTTGCACTGAGTGACAACCAAATATTTTTAAGCACCTTGAACTGTATTAAATTCTTTCTCCCTCCTCATCACTGCTTTTGCCAAGTCACACCCACTAAAGGAGGCAGCACTTTTGTTATCTGGCCTATCATCATAATCCAACACATCTACAGACTTATCCAGAACCTATCATGCTCATTCAGAACTCATATCCTTAAATTGTCCTTAAAAAGAATTGGTTTAACATTTTAGTACTTTTTCTGATCCTGTCATGCTTAGGCAGTCTTTCAGGAATCACCAAAGCATCAGGCATTGCTACACTGTACAAACACCTTCACATATTTCCTTACCTCAATATTCTTTGACTTTAAATAACATCCAAGTAGACAGAGCAASACAAGAGAATTGAAGTAGAATTAAGAAATGGGATTTAAGTGGTGAGAAGAGCAATAGATGGAGAAACAGAGTCCCCTGTCAGCAAGACAGATATACTTCATACTTTTTAAAAGAAAGTAATTCCTGTTCACAAGCCTGGATTAAAACCAGACTCATCAACCTGCAAAAAGGTACCTAAAGAGTGTAAATGCCACAGTGCTCACTATGGTCTTAATGATTTAGGAAGAAATCACTGGCCATTTTTATTTAACAGCTCAGAGCAGTAAGTAGCAATTAAGTCACTTCTCACAGACCATTCCAGCATCAAGGAGTTGACTCTGACCTTTTTGTCCCCTATCTCCATGTTCAAAAACTTACAGGAAACCTTCCTCTGCTACGATTACAACTCTCCTCAAACCATAAACAAGAGTTTCCCTAACAAATCCATATTTATGTCCATACATTTTTCAATTACTTTGCATACTCCACAGTACGATGAGCAGTTCCATGATGGACACACCACAGTCCCCATTATCAATAATAAAAAGCACCAGTTTGCAACACAGCCCACACATGATGACCTACTCCAAGTCCCTGGAGAGCTCCAGATTGTTAAATATCTATGACCAGTGTTTTAGACAATACAAAGAGAGTCAGGATGACATGTTCAGAGCAGTAGAAGATGCTTCTCAACCTTGACAGTAGGTATTTAAATGTAGTCACAACTTGTCCAGTCCATTCTATTCCTTTCTCTGCCACCTTTTAATAACAACAACTGGTGGAGTTACACWCTTGCAAATCCAGGTGGATGGGACACAGATTTAACAGCAGTTATAACCTACTGAAAGAAATAGCTATTTTCCCCAATAAAGAGTCAGGCATTGAGTAGATCGACCAGTAAAAATATACCTCCAATAAAAAAAATAAAAAAAATAAAAAAACCAAAACCTCAGGGTATTTAATTTTGCCCTAAAACCTGGTAACAACTCTATACTTTCATTTCACATAGTAGAACCCAAGAGGCTGAAAGTCAATAGTGCCCAGATCCACTTGTACGCACAAATGACAACCTAATGTCAAGCCCCAATGAAACCAAAGAGAACGTGGAGAACTGCTTCACAAACCTCTGGGCTCTCTCATCATTCTCCTAGGTCAGACACACTCACAGATCCAAGCTTTACTCACTCACAGATCCAAGCTTTTCCCTTGTTTCTAAACACTGTACTGCACTGCCTTTTATGCACTAGCCACAGAAGACCTTTTTACATTATTTATGTCTTTAATGAAATCTCAATACAATCACAAAGGGAAGCATTTAAAAATCAGAAACCTTGCTTTCACTTTAGATTACTGTGTACCTACATTTCTGTTGATAGAAATGGAAGCTACATGTCAATCTATTTCCAAAAATCCATTTATGGCTTCCYAGCCTCACTCACCCTTGATAYCCAGGAGTTGCAATAAACCCTACTCCTGTATCTGGCACGGCAGCACTGTAAAGGCTTGCCAAGCCCAGGATAGTGGGGCAGTAAGTGGCTTCAAACAGGCAGAGAAAAAGCAACACAAGCTGCAATCCTTTCCACTTGCACCCACTGTCACAGCCACCTTTAGGAAGAGGTGCTGATAAGTAAAGATCTATTTGTGCCATAGTATTAATAACTTCAGATAGGATTATTTGTCTTCCATCTGTTTCAGCCCAGTGAGACAGGACTGGTCCCATCCCCTCCCAGCATCAAACTGGAGTTTCTGAACTCCAGTAAGACACGAACTGACAGAAACAGGACACAAAAGATCCCACTTGTTCMTAGTTTAAAATTGCAAGGGCATCTTTTCCTCAATACATGCTTTAAATAACTCATTTTTGCTCCAACTATTCACTGTTTTCTTTCCTCCTACTTCCTTAACATCTCTAATGGAAATGCCTGGGAAAAACTAAATGTCCTGTGACCCTGGCACAGCTCTTGTGAGCAGAGCCCTCCTTTCACTCAGTAGAAGACAGCTTTGCTCAGACGAAAGAGGCTAAATCTCATTTGAGCTCAGCTGCTTTTGCAGCATTTACAATAGAAAAAGTAGGAAAACAAAAATCATTTAAAAGAGCAAGGTGATAGCATTTTAAAATTTAAGGACTTACCTAGTCCCAACAACAAGCAAACCATCCATCTCTCCCCCTAAGTTTCAAGGTCATTTGGTAAATAAATGCTTTTAGAAAGTTTCTAAATTATCGATTTTGAAGCCTCCCACTCCTAGAATTTGCCTGGACTAGTACATTGTTTAAAACTGTCTGAATTTCTCAATTTGCTGCCACATCCCTCCCTGCTTGCCCAGGCTCCTCCTCACTGTCTCTCCTGCAAATTCAGACCATGAGCCCAGTGATGTCCTTCCCTAGCAGGTGCCAACAACAGCAAACTGTGCTCGTGTTCAGAACTCTGCACTGCCCCACTTCCCTCCACAACAATCTGAGTTACAGAAACAGCACAACTCCCAGCTTTACAGTGTTTGAGCAACAAATTTAAATACGACAAAAGTGGATCAAGAGCATCTTACCATTATTGTTCCTCCTGTCTGGGTTCGTAGAGGTTTCAGAACTTTTCTCTGAACAACAAAATTGGGWAGAAAGGCAACCGGTGGAATTTCTGTGATTGTAGCCACAACAAATGACCACTGCAATGGAGAGAAAGAGAGTTCCAATTAACGTAGACACTTAGCTCTCTCGTTAGTTGTTATCTACTAAATAAGGTGCTCATAGGTCCTCAGTAAGATTTTTTATATTTTTAGATGGAAGCGAACACACCAGTTATTAGTGGCCTCCAAAYAGGTCCATCCTCAAGTTTTTAACTATGAGAATCATCTATTTCMACATTTTATTATCGAACAGTAATTCTTCAGGAACCTAGTGTTTCAGAAAAATCTCATATCCCTCAGATTGGGAGGAAGAATTGTAAAATGTCCTTCAGCTACACTTGATATAKTGTTCAAACCGAAAATATCTATTCCTGTGTGGAATCAAAAGGAYAGAACAAGGAGAAAGCAAACACAAACAGACAACTGAACTAAGAAGCTGAAATACTTAAGTGAACACACAGTGCAAACTTTACCACAGAGAACTGATTCAAATTTATTTAGCATATTAAACACTTCTGGAAAATGTTTCAAGGAAACATTCTGTTTAAAAGTCTTCAAGGTTAGAACACAAAATATTTGCAATATGTAARTGCTTTTTTTGCAAACACACTGATTACTTCAAAGAACTTCCACTAACACTGCTACCAGTGATAACACTGCTAAATATATTTCAAAGCACAAGTCACAAGCAAGAATACACCTGTTCAACCAGGACTGGAACATTGAGGGACCAAGGATTATGAGTTACCACCCTGCACAAAGACTCTGAACAGATCCTGTTTTCTGCAACAGYGGGAATTTTAACTGGACTGAGGGCATTGGCTGCACCATTACACAGCTGCTCACAGTTGGCAGGATGTACATGTGGGCAACTGGAACCAAAGACAACAGCCCCATCTCAGGGTCTTTTGATGCTCAAAGTAATTTCCCAGTTACCAATACTTAAATTTCCAAGTACTACTGGGTGGGGTGAATGGGTGGCATTATTCACACAGTGCCTAAGTCTCCTAACCATATTTTGCCAACAGGTTCATTTTAAGCTCTCACTACTTTTATATTTGCAGGACATTATTCTTTTATCATACAATCAGCTGTCCATTATAAGATGATTTAATTATTTTTTAGTCCAGTCAATCTTGATAAAGTCCCTTTGCAAGACATTTTAGCTTTTGAACAAGCACGTTATTAAAAACTACATTCAATCCTGTTGTTCTAAAAGGGAACTGAAAAGGTCACATCTGGATAAAAAAATAAATTTTAACTCCAATGTGAATTATGATCACACAGGAAGTTTTAGAGAAGTTTAAAGTTAAATTAATGTCAACAGGGAACAGTGGAAGCAATGACTTCAACAAACATTATGCAACTGCAGATTTTTAAGGGCAGGTAAGAAATGCAGGTGTGGTGGGAGCAAGGAGCAAGCAAGGCTTGCTGCTCACACCTAAGCCATTCCCACTCACTGCTCCACACATGGGCCTGTGCTGAGGTAAATAATTCCCAGCAGTTTGGGGAAGCCATTGACTGGGAGGAAAGTCCTGGGGCTCAAGAATGCAGCTACAGATGTGGGAAAATGCTTCTCCAAAACTACTACCTAGTAACTCAGAAATGTGTGGAATGTTTTATGTTTTTTTTTTTCTTCAGCATATTAGTTTTGTTTTCCAGCATTTCCCACAATAAATTCCCACACTAGCTATGTAGAGACTAAATAAAAAAAGCAAAAGGAATTGGTTTTATATAATTGTATACTTTCCCATGTTGTAAAAAAAAAAAAAAAAAAAAAAAAAGAATTAATTTGAATACATGGAGACTACATCAATCATGTTTTCCAGACTGCCAGCTGCCTTCCGTAACAGCAGTCTTCACACACATCACTGTCCTTTCACAGAAAACAAACCCTTCAAATGATTTTTTAAATTACTCTTTTTCATATTCATATATTATGATTGTATACATCAGAATAATATCAGCTACTTTTTCTATATTTGCTCTCTCTCAGCCATCATCAAATTTCTTCCCTGCAATTTCTTCCCTTCCCTGAAGCTGGACAGGACTCAGAGCAAGCTGGTCTAGGGGAAGGTGTCCCTGCCCATGGCCGGGGCTGGAATGAGATGTGCTTCAAGGTCCCTTCCAACTCCAATCAGTCTGGGATTCTATGAAATTACTGATTCTCCACTGAAGTTTTGCAGAGCTGTAATTATGTGACTTACAAATTAAAATTTAGTCTGKATTTTGGGAAGAGCAATAACCATAAATAAACACTATAAATAAATACTATGTCTTCACTTAGTCTTAGTTATCAACTCCATTTAGCTCTTTTATTGCTACTACTGTAAGACTTTTAAAATTATTTATCTTTCTAYATTTTGAATAAATAGTTCAATGAATTAAGTTTTTATTAAAAAAAAATCACTCTCCATTTTGTTAAAAGGAGAAAAGCAGTCAGATTAACTCTTACTTAGCTGTGTTTTCCTTTAATAAATGCCTCCTACCATATTACCTATTGGGCAACATCGTTACATTTGGCTCAGTTTAACCTTATAGCAAGATGCTACACTCAAAAAAAAAAAAGAAAAAAAAAAGGAAGGTGGTAATAAAAAAATCCTAAAATAACCACAGATTAAGAGTTTTTCAGTTTCCTTACTTAAGCAGAAACTCTATAACAGATACATTTAATGAGGATATTTTTGTAAGATTTTTTCTTCTAAAGTATTACTACTATTAATTCCTTAACTATAAAACTCTTCTCAGGAAGGTTAGACATCTTTAATTCATTAATCTTCAAGGACTAAAAGTTAAACTGGAAAACTAATATGAGGAAGATATAGATAAAGCTAAAGCAATTGCTTTTATTCTGATATCTCCTGCATTAATACAAACAGATCACCAATGATCAAACCCAACCTCTGATGTACTGCCTTTCATCTTATGCATTCATTGCATTTCAGCATTTTAAAATGGCCAACAACAGACAAATTTWWWAAAAAGGCAATTTTGTTCTTCAATATCTAAATTTAAACTGTATTTAATTCTTTGCTAAATTCCTGGAGCTAGTCCCAGCTTCAAGGGAAAGTTCAAAGATCCAACAGCAAGCAGCTCACGTGATTTATATTTAGAAGCTTGCCTGAGACAAAGCTATCTGGATCCATCTTCAAGCAAGTATAAAGCAAGGATGTTTTCAGCTTSAATTAACACAAGATAAAATCAGGAAGGACAATGGAAAGCTTGCAGTTTTCACAAAGTTTGCAGCCAAGGTATGAAGGCACAGTTAGCACCTGGAATCAGGCACTGCACTGGCAGAAGTGATGACAACCAGTGATGAACCCAAGGAAATCCACCAAAAAACAGGTCTGGCTGGTGCACCAGTATCCCAGCCAATGAGCAGGAAACATTMAAAAGGAAGAAAACAAATTGCTGTTACTAAATGCTCCTTGTCCTGATGAGCTTTGCCAGCTGCTTTCGCTGCACAAAAGGTTCCACAGCACTTGCACATTGAAGCACACAGTGTAACACTGAAACCTGTCAGACCTTGCTGCCCAGGACTGGCATTCYTGCTTGGCATTTTCTCCACACAGACTTAAATATTACACATCTTTAAAGTAACACTTTTGTATATTTCTACAGACCCTTACCTGACATACTTTTACATGAAAACTTAGGGAGAAAAATTATTTATCTGCTCTCACAACCTTCTTAACACTTTACAGCAGAAAAGCACTCAGCTTCAACTTGTCACCCATGAAGTTCGAAAATCTGAGCAAGGAAAAAGCACAATGGAGGGAGCAGAGACAACAGAAGACAGCACAAGAACTGCATGAACTGAGGAACTGGACATGGAATTCTCAGCACCTCTGAACGTATCCATTTCATCCAACTCCAGCCCACGTGTCTGCATCTGCTGAGCCCCTAAGGCAGCACAYACAGCATTCATTCTGTGTGGTTTACCTGAACACCTGATCCAGCCACAGGTACACAGGCTCAGTTGGTGATTCCATGAGCCTCTTCCTTTTCCCTGCACTGCTCAGAGTCCTCCCAGCTGCCCAGGCCCCTRCCAGGACTACCACAAGACCCAGGTACCTGTGGCAGGTAAGCCCAYGTGGCCAGGCAGGAGCCAAGGCACACAAACACCTGAGCACCAGCCAACACCTGTCTCCTCCTCACAGTTACATTTCTAATAGTGATTAACCTCTTATTTTTAAACCCAGATCATTTGCAAATATATAACCCAGACTGAAATTCCTAATGAGACTGGCTGACTCAATTCACTCTCAGAAAAGCCCCACTGGTGCACAGGTCTTATCCTCAGTATTTGCTCACATCACATATGTTACCATAGAACTGCTCATAAATAAAAAGRGAAATACTTACACAGTCTGAAACTGGCTCTAAGCTCATTCCCTACCTCATTCCAAAAGTTCAGAATGCTGACATGCAGAAAATTCATTATTTTACATAACACTAGAAAAAGGCAGCAAGTGGAAAAGTACTGAAGGAAACTACCAACAGTCCARTCATCACCTTAGAGATCTAAATCCTTCAAAGGAATAAACTGGGGGGGAATCACCTCAATTCAAAAAGGCCAAACTTCACTGTAAGGCCTGAGCAGGGAAATAGGGGRACCCTTCCTGCCAACACAGAATTGACTTCCAGTAGCGTATGTATTTTGTGTACACCTTTTATTTCTTTTCATCCAACACTCAGCTGGCCTCTTCAGCTGCTGCGAGGACATGAAACACCACCTACTCTTACAAGGGTAGGGAATTTCCTACCAAATTCATGCTCAGATTTTAAATGAACACTCAAGTGATCCATTATCTTAGGAGATCTGGGCATTCTGAGAGAGGCAAGCAACTTCGTAGTCTTCAGAGATGATCTAATATAAAACTACACCATTTATAGGCATTTGTCTGAATTTAAAAGAAAAATAGCACAGCAGACATTGGATAAGGCAATAAACAATTTTCACAGGCCCTTTTCATGTCTGGGATGTTATTTTTCTTTTGCAACTAAGCACTTTTATCTTTGCTGCTTGGCAGGAACCTGCTGGCATGACCAACACAACATCTTCCAGTTTCCACACTTGCAGGAAATATCCTCTCAAGAAAAGGGGGAGAGGAGATACCCAGTAAATCCAATCTGGATGCACAGRACAGTGCTGGTCTTGACACCGAGACACAAGTTGTACAGACAATTCCCTGTGAAGCCATCCCATAGGTACTAAAAATATTATTATGGCATTCCAAACTGAGCTATGCACATTAAACTCTGCTTCAAATAAGTGATTCAGTAAAAAGAGGTGGGTGGTACTATGGAATTAAAAGTTCAATATCAAGAATAGCTGCAATAATATCAAATCTAACGATGCATGAAATTGCATGTAACTTCATAGCACAGAATGAAGAAGCATAAGAGAACTCAGAAGAGCAGTAAGAGTGAAAAAGTTCACACAAATAACAGATCATTTATAGAGAAAATAAAACATTCCAGAAACAGCAATCCAAGGACTCTTTCACCATGGAAGGGCACAGGTGACTCAAAATAACTTCTTTTGAATTATGAAATGGAAGATTTCTTTTCTCTTACAAATCCCTTCTCTGCCCTCCAAGCACAGTTGCAAAGTAGAAGCAATGTCACCTGCACTCGTGTACTATCCAATTCCACCCACAGATCTYGATCTATTCAGAAGCAGAGATCTCACATGTTTATATTTTAGAGTTACATTGAGGTTTCACAAACAGATGTTTCAYTTAGAAATATCCAAGGAATGCTCCTCATCCCCCCCGCAGTCCTGTATGAGCTGGAAATCTTCACACACAGATATGCTTGGTTATGCCCTTGMATTGCTCTTTCAACTATCTCCATATTCCACTGATACAGGCAGTGTCTGAGTAGAAAGTCCCTCCCAAGAGACTGACCACAGAATCACTACAGAGATGCTGTGTCAAGATTACACAGCCTCAAACCCCACAAAGCAATCCCTGCATTAGAAAACATCCAATAAAGTACCCCATGTTAGTGGTTTCAATTGTGTTTTCAATTTCAGAACTGTATTTTATCAAAACTTACACTGCTCAACATTAAAACTCTGGCACTAACAAGAATATTACTGACATCTCAGGCATGCCAACTTTCCTCATGTTTAGCTTCCTTGAAGTATCATGTCAGGTCACCTATTTAACCTAGCAGACCCTCTTGCCACTCCACGCCAATATAGAGTGAACTGCCGAGCATTTCTATGGTGCTCTTTCAGTGTTCTCAGTAACAATGTTATCAGTGTTACCAACATATACCATTTTATATCTGTAAAGCTGATTTATAACAACTGTACAGGATATTCATTGCCTTTGACACTGGACAGTTTTCTGGGAAAACACATGAATGAGTACARTACCTTTAATTTATTAAGGTAGCGTCTTGTGTGAACAACCAAGAGATCTTCATCAGTYGCCTCCCGTGCCTGCACAATCAAGTCATCTGCAATTAGTTTTTCTTCTGCAACAGGAGAGAAATAACAATTGGCATTGTACACCACTGCTTAACCCCCATGTCCCCCACTGCCAAACACACTGCTCAAACCTTGGTGTGGTAACTTCCTCTGTCATGTTTATTACTCAAACAGCTTTGGGTTACTCAGTGKTGGCAAGTTTTCCATGTACACCTCCTGTGTCACAGGTAAGCTATCAGGAAGTGTGCATTGGAGAAATATTGTGTACAGAAAGTTTTCAGAGTGTGCTAAGATCATGGTAAGTTGTTGTTTAAACCAAAAGGACAGACAAATAATGACAGAAGATGAACATACACTGGAATCACACAGCTCCTCACAGTTTAGGGCTAGGCCCACTGGGGAAATCCTGGTGCTTGTACCATCAAATATTCACCATTATTTTACCATGCTTTAAGAAATGCCACAGTTTGTACTAGGATTTAATCCTCTAAATCACAGAAAAATAAAATAATAAACCAAAATTCAAAACAAAGTAATGGCTTAGATGTTCATGGAAGCAAACAAGTTTAATTAGGATATTTGTGTCACCCCCTACCTCAATTTAATTTCAAGAAAAAACAATGAGCAGCTATTAATTCTTTCTATCAGAGACAAAAGGATTATTTAAAAACTTAAGTTTTATAAGAGCAAGTTACWCCAAGACTTCAGAATCGGTGCATATGATCATTACAAACAACAATTAGAAGGAATCCCGCTGATCTTCCCAGGCAAATTTTGATATTTAATTGCTGCACAGCTGCAGTCTTCTAACCCTGTATCTCTTAATTTTATACTTGGTGGATAAAGAAAACAGCTCAGAAGTGTGGGAGATTTTTCTCTGAAGTGTTATACAAGAACAGCACCTGCAACAACATTTGTTTTGGCAAGCTTCTGTTTCTCCTGACTGAGGCTTGAGGAACACTTCATTCATGCACTGGCATCAAACAGAACCAAACTGCTGCCAGCTTCGTTCTTTAGGAGGAAGGTGCACTGGAAAGATGTTCACTGTTGATTTGCTCAGTGATAAGGCACAGGGGAGGTCAGCTGTTGCCAGGAATAGCTACAGGGCCAGAGCAAACCAAGTGCTCTGTGGTATCCTGGGGCATCTTCCTCCTTTCAAAGCAAGGACAGGAAAACAATTGGGAAATCTAATTTTCTGTGAAAGCCTGAGACACTTCAGGGTAAACATGTCACACAGAAAAGTGCTGGAGGAAAAGACTTTAAACAGAAGAAACAGAAAGGTAAAGGTTCTGATTAATTAAGGAAACTGTTATGGAACCCAAGTTAAATTATTTAAGGTTGTTAGAGGAAAAAGCCACAACTCAGTTACTAAGATGTTAGAGTATTAGAATTATTTTACCTCAGTTAAAAGAATACCAGTCAGCCTGCAGTAGTAAGGGCAATCCTGAACTGTGAAGGATCATCAGTTGGAGTCGTTAGGACCACATAAAGATCAACAAGGACAACCAAGAGCCTTTGTCTTGGCCAGAGCCAAAAAAAAGCCTTTTTTTTTTTTTTTGTTTTTTACCGCTGATGAGCAAGCTCATGCTTTAAATGAAGAAATGCCAAGATTTCACAGGTCCTGCTCACACCCCTGATTCTTACATTTGTATTTCCTTAACCCATTTCTACCTGTATCTTCCAATTGGCTTAAACAGCAGTAATGAGTAGTATCATAAAAATCTCTGCCTGTACCAGAGGGGCCTCAAAGCTCTTTCCAAACATCATCAGAGCAATAGGATGAGGTTGCTAAAGAATGGACTRAAGTGCTAAAGCTGCACTTCTCTCTCAGCCTGAGAAGGCCTGTGTGCAGTCCAAGTTGAGTAACTAAGTTAGACCTGCAGTAAACCATCATTAACACCTGGAGTTTCACCAACCACAGGAATGCCCCAGTTCCTGCTACACCAGCTGCAAAGCCAGGAAAGCTCAAGGCTACAGGAAGCCACCCACTGTAATTCAGRTCTGGTAAGCCCAACTGTCCATAAACTTGCAGCTGACACAGGAAGGATTTTCCTTCCATTGCTACAAAAGTGAACTCTGTGTTCTGTTTTAGAGCCAGGCTTGGTCCCCGAAAGGAAGTACAGACTGGAACTGCAAACAGCAGCTGGCCTCAAGAGGGAACTTTACAGAAATACTGCTCTCATACATTCATCTAGACTGAAAGAAAGCACTTTAAATCCTTACAAATCTGTTGAGTATCTGAACACTGYATGCTAAGCTACATCCACAAGGCTCCAGCATTCTGCACCTAACTCAGGCTGGGCTGAAAGCCAAGATCCTAGTGCTCACCTCAGAGGTAGAAGTAATTCTCATATATCCCACACGAACCTTTCCTGTAAAGGCCAAGCAATGAAATTCTGCCCCCTTCAAGAGCAGAAGGCATGCCTTCACCCCAACTGTAAAGACCAGGACTATTTTAAGAGGGTCTAAGATACAGCTATGCTCCCATTTCTCTTTCCTCCTTTTCACTCACAGTTTTGTAAAGCTTTGGTTCAGGCTGAAATGAACCAAACTAGTTACTCTAACTAGTATTATTCATGTCTCTGGGGAGAGCAAATAATTTAATGAGCTTCAATTTTCAATCACATTTCACAAGTTTCACTCTGCATAGACACCACAACTGWGCTGAAACTCAAACTGTGGGTTTATTCAATAGAGGGGGCTAGAAAATACATTTTCTAAGCACTATAAAACAAACCTTTGTATTAAAAAGCCATGGTGTAGGATGTTTGCTGTCAAGTTACAAATCCATCTTTTAAATACTTCATTGACAAAATCTTCAACAGTGACATGCAACCCACCTCAGAAATCCTACAATCAATTTAACTTGCGAAGACTTAAAGCTGCAAATACATAAAAATATTAAAGCACTTCAAGTATGATTGAAGAACATAGCTTAAATCTACACAATGATCAATGAAGATGTTCAGTCACTATTACATTAGTTGTTAACATAAGTCTGCACTAACCATGTAATTTTCTTTAGGTTTTGTGCAAATACTGGTCTAAGAGACATCTTCTGTTATTTTACCTTTCAAGAAATTGATGACTTTCCCCCACTTSCCCGCATCAAAGGGATGCAGTTTCTCAAGTCCCATGAAGGTGATRTTGTAGTCTGGGGAATACACGATGGGCCAACATCCCGATGGAGGGTCCTCATACAGCTCCGTCCTGTGAGGCCTTGGCGAGCAAACACACACCAGTCACTGCTTCAGAAACCACTTACAGGAATTGCTTTACACTGAAGGCCCAAATTACAAATTAGTCCTCACTAATACCAACTTTCTTGAAGAYAGTATTTCCAACAGAAAAAATGGAAACATTTGGTTTCTCTGTCCTTGTCTTTCCAAGTGCACCAATCAGCACCTTTACCTTCAAAGGGGTATCCAGTTTGCAGACAACATAACCTTCTATACCTGCACTGCTAGACTCGTATTCTTAAGTCTGTATCAAAACACAAACTGCAACGCTTCTAACAATGCATGTCTGGAAAGATTTCTAGGAACCTTTCCTAGAAAGCAACAAGCTATTTTGTGACCAGCTGAGCAAACTAACGAGGCTTGGCTTTTATTTGCATAGGATTGAACCAGAGCACACACTGTTAACTCCAGATGTCACTCACACCTGTAAACCTTATCCAATACTTTCCTTCAACCCCCCTCCAAATAAGCGGGTTTTCCCAACACCAAGAGCAACAGCACAGCCAGCTCACAGCCCTCCTTCACAAGCCATKGACAAAGCCAGCAATGCTGTGCTCCGTGTTTACAAACACCAATTGTTTGTGGAGCCCTGTGTGCACACAGGGTCAGCAGCCCAAGCCAAGGCTGAAAGGGGGGATTCTGTATTTGTACCCAGCCCATTCCACCACCTGCAGTGCCCCAAACTCCACGGAGTCATGGCGAGACCTCTCTCACTTCCCGAAATTTAAGGTTTGGAAAAACCTTTGCAACATACTGTGCAAGACACAAGAGTCTTTTGTCAGGTGAACAATGCAAACAGAAAACCCCTTATTTCCCGTCTAAATATGCTCAAAAAAAAAAAAATCCTTTTAAAATCCAGCTAGAAGCAAACCAAACGAACCACGAGGACAATGGAGGYTTTTCATCAGAGCCCGCGGCCCGGTGCCCACACACACCCACAGAGAGMGCCAGGGCTCTGCGGCCCTTTCCTCAGCCGTCCCCGCAGAAGGTGCCGTGACACCCCGGCCCTGACAGCGGGGCCGCGGGCCTCGGCCCTGCGGGGACTGCAACACACAGGCTCGTTTCCCCAGGCCCGGGCTGCTCCCGGTGGGACACCGCGTTCCCAGCGGGACACCGCGTTCCCAGCGGGACACCGCGTTCCCAGCGGGACACCGCGTTCCAAGCGGGACAGCACGCTCGCAGCGGGGCTCCTCCCGCCGGGGCGGTGTCAGGCCGGGCCCGCGGGGGATCGGGGCGCTGCCGCAACCCGGCCTGCGGCTCCGCGGGCCCCGAGGCCAGCCCGGGCAGGCAGGGCGCTCCCGCCGCCCCTAGAGCCGCCGCCTGTCCCCGGTGCCGCTTGCCGTGCCCCATTCCCCGCTCCCAGCCCCCGTGCCCGTACTCACATCCCCGCCTCCGCCGGGCCGCGCAGGGAAGGGGCGGTGTCGGCTCCGCCCGGCACGGGGCGGGCGCACGGCGGGGCCGGGCGGGGCTGCGGGCACGGCTGTGCTCGGTATCCTAACACCGGCTTAACTCGGGAATCCACGGACGACGTRATACAGCCTCGAACGCAGAACGCGTTTGACAAAAGGAACTAAGAATTCACAGGACAAGCCGCTGGTCTGATGTTGGGGCAGTTAGGAAAGCTCAACGTCTTCAAAGTGATTCACACAAACRGTATCTTCGTATGGGAAATATTTTTCTTAAATAAAACTTACAATTGACACCAGTAGGTTCTAGTCGGTCAGCAGCAAAATGAGGAAAACAGGTCAATTATTGATCTTACCTAACAGCAGCAGAACTGTTGCTGATTTTGACAGGTCAGGATTCACCCCAAGGACAACATCCCTGAATTCAGGCACACAAGAAAAATAAGCTAGTCTCAAGTCAAAAGCCAATTTCTAAGCATAGTTAACTAATTCTGCTTGAATATATACAAAAAGGGTGTTTTTTTTTATACGGTTGCACAGCTAAATCAATAATATMATGAAAAATGGTCCATCAATAGCAGCAGTATCTATCAACCCCGGGATACATGCCCAGAAGCACTCTTTYCTCTGGAGGAGTAATGTCTCTTTATGAGAGTCTCTGATAAATGTCTTTCTTCTTACAATATGCTGCCTTTGGCTTGGCATTCAGTTTTGATGGATGCCTGGGCTTCACTTTGGTATTTATTTAGCAGCAGGAGACTGTTACACCATGAAAACATTCTATCCCTTTGACATTATCTTTTAATTAACATTTCTTTTGTTCTRGCCCTTTGTGTGCTCACCTCAATATTCCTTCAGCATATCTACCTTTTCTTCCTTGTTCCTGACTGCTTAGTACTTGGGACTTTATAATTAGAGTGTTTGGTTAATGCTGCAAACATAACATGTTCTTATTTAATTGTCATTTTTATTAACTATTAGTTAAATTAAAAATCAACTACCAGACTAGTTTCCATGTTTCTTGGATGTCATAAATTGTTTTTTATATGCACTTTCCCATTAACAGGCCCTGGCACCCTGGCTCAGGTTGCCCAGGAAGCTGTGGCTGCCCCTGAAACCCCAGAAGTGTCCAAGACCAGGCTGGACCACGCTTGGAGCACCCCAGTCTAATGGAAAGTGGGATGGGATGAGCTTTAAGGTCCCTCCCAATCCAAACCATTCTGTGATTAATCATTTACCCTTGAAGTATGACACCCACACTGCTCCAAGAGGAGTGTTTACTTTGTCATTCCTTTTTTCACTGCCAAATATCAAATGAAAATATCTGCTCCTCTGTTCTGTATAGTTGTGACATTCATTACTTTCACTTTCCTCCTTTGATACCACCAGCTGGATTCTCATCTGCTGGCTGATTCCCAACAGGGTCCCCAATAATCCCTTTTCCTTTCTGCATCAGTGGCAGAAACATGTTCCCTTGGAAGCTTTTTGAGGAAGTGCTCTTATGGAATCATAGAATCATGAGGGTTGGAAAACRCCTCTGAGATCATCAACAGACACTAGTTACAGACCACAGAGAACCCAGCCTCCTCTACATCTCTTGGAATCCTACAAAATTAGGCCCCAAATACCCCATAAAAGTGAGAACAGATGAACTACAGCCTAATTTGTGCAGTGTACTGATGTTATTTGCTCTGTTTTCCTAATACCAAGGAAATGTTTTCTGCCTGGACCATTGTGCTTCTGTGGAGACAAATGCAGCTTGGATGGTTTTTGACAATACTGTGGCTAAGGCTGGGTGCTGTGCTAAGGGAGTTTATAAATTGCTGCACACCTGAAAGCACAGGCATATCGTTGTTCTAATAAATATCCAGCAACTATTAACTTTCAAGGTCTGGCCCATTTACTGTGCTATTTGTCATCCAGGAGATCATTCATATCATGCTGACAATCATGAAAAGGACTGCCTGCCTTCCACATAAGTGGTTTCTTATAATGGGGCTCCAGTTCAAAACTGATTCTGATAATGGCACTGTCCTTCCCAGGAACTCTTTTCAGGCTTTCAGGTTTATGTGATTGGTCTCTTTAAAGTTCAAGGATCCACTTGTGCGGATCCACGTGAAGATGGCTCCCAAACCTTGAATTGCTGACAAAACCAACTTTCAGCCAATATTAAACTGAGTCTGACTCCTGTCCCCTATGAAAGGGACTCCTGCTTCCCCTACAAAAGGGACTGGCTGGTCAGGACTGCCAGGAATTGTGCCAGTCAAGTACCTGTTCAAGTAATCTCTTCTTTAGCAGAATGAGGGAATTTGGCAAAACCACTTCATCAGCTTTTCAGCYTCTCTTACAACAGAAAATGACTTCTTAGTTTCCTTAGAATATTCCTTAAAGATAAGATTATTTTCCTTACAGTGTTATCTTCACTCTAATTAACCTAAGGTCTTCTCCTTCTCCAATTTACACCTCACTGAAATCCTCACTTTTGAACAGTTTGGCATGATCCACACAGCACCACTCTGTGCCTTCGGAGTCGTGCAGTTCTCAGGATGAGAGATGTGGGCTATTGGAAAGAATTCAGATGATACAAACCCCAGAAAGCGTTTCTCYAAAATAGTCTTTAAATATCCATTTCAGATTCACTGGAGGGACTCGGCTCAGTGCCTTGAGCTGATGATGGGCAGTGGAGGAAACCGTGAGACTTGATTTACTGTCATTCACTGTAAACATCTGCTAGTCAGTACCAAACTGGAGAAAACTGTGTTAAATACAATTTCCTTTCTGAAGGAAAAAAWTTTTCAAACAAGTGATTTATTTGCAGGTCCCTTCAGAGGTGCAGTCTGCTATTCTCTGGCTGAATATGAACACAGAGGGAAACAATTAAGTTAATTAATAACATTCYCTGCTACATCAGATTAATCTCCAAATTAATTTGTAACCATCCTCCCAGAGCATACTTATAAATGTGGTATTGTATATAATTTTTGCAATTTCATTGCCAATTACAGACACAACTTGCAGCCTAGTATTGTTTTCTACCAAAATAAACAGGAATGTGCCAAATACGTAGAGTTTTCAGTCCTAAGAACAACCAGATACACAGAAACTATTTTCATCTAACAATCAGCACGGTCAGCTGAGAACATTTTGTTGGTATCTGATCTGTCCTGATTTTTAAGTGCTTTGTTAATCTGAGTGATATGTAGTCTGTTTATAATATACAAGTGGTGAAGTGCAACACATATTTCTGCCCCACCTTTTCCAAGTACATTCGAAAGAAACATGTTCAGACACCAGGTACTCAGCTGGTGGGAAAGGTATAAATAAATACTGGCAAAATGGTTAAAAGTACACTATTACACTACTTAGACTACCAGGAAAAGGTTAAATCTCAGATTTCAGGATATTTTTTGTTTCTGATGGCCTCCTGCACCTTTCCCATTATCAAGGTAAAATTGCTACATGGGTGTTGGAATTTAAAGTGGGGCTGGGGAAGGAAATGCAGTTTACATTTTAAAGGTATCACAGAGTCCCAAACTGGTTTGGGTTGGAAAGGACCTTAAAGATCATCTCATTCCAACCSCTTGCCATGGACAGGGATGTCACTCACTAGATCAGGCTGCTCAGTGCCTCATCCAGCCTGGTCTTGGCCACTTACAATCAGGACATTGACTTTCTGCTACCTGCAGCATAATCATCATTTGTGATGACTTGGAATACTTCTGCTGTCCCAAGAGAAGCCCAGGGCTCGGGAAATGAGATGTTGCCTGTGGGAAGAATCATCATGACACAAAACATACTCAAAATATTTCCAAATCCATCATTGCTTTTCAATATTTTCTTATTTCTGTGCTAGTTTTAGATTCATAAATTGCAGCAACAATGCCTCCAAAGATATCCTGGAGGAACTTCAGTCTCAGTGTTCACCTGAGCACAGCTGAGAAAAGCAAGGGAACCACAGCAATGTGAACCATTACTAAAGAACCTGGATTTATTCCAAGCTTTGGAGGTTTCCTAAGCTCAGAACTATCCAGAAACCCCTTCAGAGTCAAAGGTCTTCAGCTGAAATTGCTCACTGGTGCCGTAAGGTGTTCACAGATTTAGATAGGTATGTCTTGTGATACCCAGATGGGACATTTTATTTGTTCTCAACTATCATGGCACAATTTAGATGCAAATTACCAGAYAACTGGCACTCCAACTGCATTAGGCACTATGAAAGAATAAGAATATTTGGAGCTATTTGTTTTAGCAAACAGGCAGCTGGTACAGTCCAATGCCTTATGCCTGACATCCCTAAATCTATGCCTCCCTTCCTGAATGGCAGTGATGTGATGATGATGAAAAGACAGCATTGTAAAATGGAGTTGGATAAGGCCACACAGGTTCCCAGATAACAGTCCTACACTGCATTGAGCCAAACTGCGGATATGGAAAGAAAGAATTGAACTACTACATGAAGCATTTTGAAAGAGAAGCTGCACACCTGGGGGATGTTAGGGATATTCAGCATTTATTCTTAAAGAGTGAAGAACACTCCTTCAAGTCATGGTGATCAAATTCC